CCTGCGGGACTTGTCAATCAACTGTTTTTTACCCCCACATAAATCGTTGTTCCTTGTGTATTGCACCTGACGCGTCCAAATCTGGACGAAGTCAATCAGTTGTAGAATGCTTTGTTGGGAGAAGCAGCTCCGAAACTCTCCACTTAAGATGGCATCGTTAAGATACATAGCCTCTTAAATGGCTAAATAACTAATCCAGCTAGGCAGTAACAGACACCTGTTGCCTGAAAGTACCTGACTTCGACTTTGATTGAACTGTTTGAGAATGGAAAACTTAGATGCATAAATTTCTTCAGAATAGCTTATAAACTTGGATTATTGAATAAGTTAAGCACTTGACTAAGTTTAACCTCTGGAAGCAAGAAACACCAGTGTAGGTGGCATGCGATACGCTTGATGCAGTTCAAAGCCAGGATCTAGACAACTGCATCCTTAATGGAATCTTGTCCGTTCGCCCCTAATTTAGGAGTCCTATCAGCACCAGGGTGGAGGACGTGAATGGAGTTACTTACTTTGACCCTGTTAGCGTAGGTCCAATACTCCTCTGTTTATTACATACATTGCAACTGCTTCTCTTACGTGTTGTCAAAGTGATACCTTTACGCACTTTGTCTGAAATATTCTTCTCTTCTCACTTCTACTCTAACAAACGTGTCAATTCTCCTAAGCGGACCTAATCAGCGTCGCTAGGTAACAATGATACAAGACGGTGTTCGAACTGGAAGCGCATTCCTGGCCACGGTTTCCTTTCTAATGCGCATCGCCAACCCCATGTCAGTGCGCCCGGACCCCTGTCGGACGATCGTTATGTCATGCAAAGTCTGACATTTTACTCGTTATTTCGTGAGCTGTGGCTTGAATAGAATCGCTTGACCCATAACTGGGCAACAATAGAGACCAGGCTTAATTCCGTAGCAGTGCAGCAGCAGCTGAGGTCATGTCAGTGTCAAAGCTGATGGGGCTACGAAAAACCTTCTCGAGCTTTCTAGATTCACACATCAATACAAAAGCAGTTTTGGAGGAATTTAACTCTGTTGAATGTTGTATCAAGAAAGCCGTAGGAAAGGTAACGATGTTTCTCGCAAAATTAACCAAGTACAACTGAGTCAATCCCTTGTTAAACGGAGAGTCAAGCGTCAGACGCACAACCAATAGTAAGATAGGAATGAGTCAGCAAGCCAACCAATGAGCTTGAGCCAATCGATCTTGCTCACATGGTTACCACATTATCGTTCCCCCCTCCGAAAAGCTGCCTCAACCTGGTTCGTAGCGATCAATAGGTTTCACCGTTCTCGCGGACCGACGCAGCTGACTTCGTGGTAATGGTAACTCAGCCGGGTCTTCGCGCGCGGATCGTTCGGGCTGATTAGCTGGTCCGTGAGCTGTGTGGAGTCGACGTGCGTTGACAATTAGGCCGTTCTCCAATCGATAGGTGCCCGGGCCAAGCGTACGGTCGATGCGCACTGGAGCGGAAAGCGAAGGTGTGCCTTTCTTTGTCGCCCTGCTTTTGACGCGAACGTATGTCCCGGGCTGCATTGGTGTCGATGCTTTAGCGTAGGAATTTTGGTAAGATGCTATGCGATTTGAAACTTCGGCATCTCTCGCTGATAAAAGGTTATGTGCAGCATTTAACTTTGTGCGTAAGGGCCTTCCTAGCATCAGCTCCGCTGGCGTTCTTCCGGTGGCTCTGTGGTCACATGTTCTGTAGGAAAAAACCGCAGTTAAAACGGCATCCTCCCAGTCCGAACCTCCTATGTGTATGGCTTGTATAGCTTCTTTTAGAGACCGGTTTAAACGCTCGACCATGCCGTTGGCTGCAGGATTGTAGGGCGCAGTTCTGGAGTGCTTAATGTTATGGTAATGAAGAAAATCTGGGAATTCGCGGCTACAAAATTGTGGCCCGTTATCCGTTACTATTTCATGCGGTAAACCGAAATGGTTGAACAAGTATTTAAGCCAACGTAACACAACCGAAGTAGTAACTTGGTCGCACATGTGTACTTCAGGCCATCTACTGTAAAAACATGTAGCAACAAGTAGATTTCGCTTATTCGTAGGAGCAGTAGCGAAAGGGCCCATAATATCAATGGCGATTTTGGTCCATGGTTTCATCGGGTAAGCAATTCGCTGTGTCGGGGCTTTAACGGGAAAAGAACTTTTGTCCGCTAATCGGCAAGCGTTGCAATTGACCACAAATGTCTCAATGCTAGATACCATTCGTGGCCACCAGGAAAACAGTCTAAGTCGATTTTCGGTCCGAACTATACCTGGATGTCTCTCATGTGCGCAAGCTATTATCTTGGCTATCAACTGGGGCGGAGCTACAAACACCGAACCGCGCATCAGGCAACCATCTACCACTGATAGTTCATGTCGAATTGCATAATACGGAATGAACTCACCGGGGATTTTGTTATTCTTGGGCCAGCCCTGTTGCACATATTTAATGATCTCATGCAGTAAAGAATCGTTAGAATTTTCCCTTCGTAGTTCCTCGATCGTCAAGGCAGACAGGTTAGCTCCGAGACTAGAAATTAATACCGCCTCTCTGAGCCTCTCTTTTTCATCTTCCAACCCCACGGGTAAGCGAGGTTGGCCGTCAGCAATCTGATTTTGCAAACCTGGCCGGTACACAATTTCAAAATCGTAGTTAAGGAGCCTGGCATACCAGCGATCGATTCGCACTGGGCGAGATCCTTTAGATCCATTGCTGAGAAGAGCTGTTCGGGCTGAATGATCAGTACGCGAAATAAAACAACGACAGAACAGAAATAAATGCCACTTTTCACAGGCCCACACACATGCAAGGGCTTCTTTTCCTCCAACTGAATAATGACGTTCGGAATCTGATAGCTTTCGTGATGCGTAGGTATTAACTTTCTCCTCTCCGTTTTGTATTTGTGAGAGGACAGCTCCGAGACCGACATCAGACGCATCAGTGGACACAAAGGTGCGGCAAGATTCGTCAAAAATGGCAACTAAGGGAGCAGACGCAACTCTCCTTTTCAGTTCATCAAAGGCATTTTGATGATTGCTGCCCCAAACGAACGACGATCCTTTCTTTGTTAGCTGTCGTAATGGATCTGCCACAGTCGCAAAATCCGGCAGATAGCGCAGGTTATAAGAGCACATTCCTAAAAAGGACTTTAGTTCTGTCAAGTTTTTGGGTGTTGGCGCTTCAGAGATGGCCCTGATATTTTCATCACTTGGTCGAATGCCACTGCGTGAAATGACGTGTCCCAAAAACTGAATTTCTGGTGCATTGAAGAGACATTTTTCTGCGTTCAGACGCAAATTGAGATCACTGAGGCGCCAAAGGACTTTGTGTAGCCTTTCATCATGTTCTTCCTGTGAGCGGCCGAAAACACAAATATCATCCATGTAGGCAACCTGCCCATCGATACCTGCCAGGGCGTGAGTCATGAACTTTTGTCAGGCGGGCGCGGAACTCAAACCCATGGGTAAGACTTTGTACTGAAATAGGCCATCAGGAGCGAGTAAGGCAGTTAGGTGTTTAGAATCATCGGCCAATGGCATATGGAAAAATGCACTTTCTAAATTTAGCTTGGAAAAAACAGTTGCACCAGCTAAACGTACAGTGAGTTCATCATTAGATGGCAAAACAAAGCGCTCTACGACGATCTGTTTGTTCAGTGCCTGCAAATCGTTGCATATCCGGACAGTACCGTCTTTTTTCATGACACAAACCATTGGATGCACCTACTCAGAGCAGTCCATGGGTTCAATCAAATCATTTGCTGGCATCGCTTGCAGGGCTGATGAGACCGCTTCACGTTTCGCTAGCGGAAAGAGTCGAGGTTGACCAATGGCGACCGGTTTCGCATTCGGTTTCAGCTGAATTCGATGCACACCACATGAAATACGGCCGATGGACTTCTAGAAGAGCTTCGGATAATGTTCCTGCCAGTGTGCTACGTTAACGGAAGAGATAAGCATGCGGTCGAATGATAGTACAATGTGCAAAGCCACCGTAGCATTCCTCCCAAGCAAAGGTCGTCTGTTGTCCGAAGAAATATACACTGCGACATCGGCCATCACAGAATGCAACTGCAAAGGCACGATAATAAATCCCAATATGGTTAGTGTATTCCCACTATAACTCCAGAATGAATGTGAGGTGGGATGTAAAGTATGCTGTGATAGGTAGCGTTCATAAAATTGGAAAGGCACGATAGTGACTGGAGAAACAGAATCAAGTTCCATTTCCAATGGAACAGCACCTTTAACAGTAAGGAACAATACAGTACGAATGTCAGCAGCGGGAAACTTTGGTTCAACAACGGATATGGTTACACAACCTGAAGGTATGGAGTCAGCGGTGATTGAATAGATATTGTCTTGAGTTGGATCGGTAACATGGCATTCCGGTGTATCATCCTCTTTAATGAGCGCGACAGCCTGCGATCGACAACAGCGGGCATAGTGTCCAATTTTACCACAGTTTTTACATTTGAGGCTGCGTGCGGGACAACCGGCAAAATTAGCTTTGTGAGACGTGCTCCCACAACGATAGCAAGACAGTTTGTCTGTCGGACGTT